CAATTCAGAAAGTAGAAACCTTACTCTATATCATTCCTCAGACTTCTTCACATAAGCATCCGTTCATTTGGGGAGAGGGGATTTCAATTGTTTTGCCTCCAAAACAAAAGCATATTAAAGAAGAGAGCCTGTACTTAGGAAGAAAAATGTTTCTGTTTTCAAGTTGCTAGAAAATCCTCTCTGATCCTTAGTCTATAATCTTAAATGAAAAGTTCATCTTTTTATATCTTTATCTACTGAAGATATATTTTTAAATAATAAAAATGTTGTTATTCCCTTTTGTACATTTTGAAATCTTTTTGTATATCTCTATGCTACTGCACACACACACACAAAAAATCTCTATTGCATATTTTGAAACAGAATCCCAAATCTGTGTTTATGGCTATGAATTTCGATGTTTGTTTATCTAAAGTTTGTCAGTTTTTAGAGTTCATAAGCAGATTGAGAATCTTAGTAATAAAGGTCTTTCACACTGTTTTTACTTCTGGATAAATTTATTTCTAAATTGGTGACGTCTATACATATTTTCAGAATTCTCAATACACATAATTATGCAAAGTGTGTGAGGAAGCAAAACAGAGTCATAAGGAGGTGTTATAGGCCTAGGCTTAGAACACCACTTCTGACAGCACAGTCTACAATACTTAATTGGATGTATGAATCTTACTAGAAATGTTTCCAAATTTTTATTATCATAACTTATGCCTCCAATGGGTCTGTAAATGTTCAGATAAAGGCTGACTGTACATATGGTGACAGATTCACTTTAAAACTACTCACATTCTAGTTTTCAGAAAAACTAAGTAGTTGTCTGAACAAGACAAAAAACAGGTTCTCATAAAATGTTGTATTTCTATGTATCTATATGTGGATTTGTGATTCAAGGCTCTAATTATCTCTCTTTCTATGTTTAACAAATGTTTAAAGAAAAAACAAACAGTGTGTCCAGGTTTACATGATATTACAATAAACGGTTCATCCAATAAATTCAGCAACCTCTTTCTTCCAAGAACTTATTGCAATAAAATTATTTTATAGCAAACATATCCCCAGTGAAATTTGATATATAAATTATGACTAGTTAATGGCCCAAGGTCCTTGCACCTTTGAATAAATGCATTTTCTTCTTATAGGCATATATTTTATACTCTGCTTTCCAGTTAAAGTAATGAAGTGAAGGCAGACTTTTTTTAATGTGCTTGCAGTCCAAAAAATTAATTCATGGGAATATTTAATACTGTCTTTGAAATTATGTGGACACAAGCCCATAGCCAATATTAGTAAAATATCCAAGTCTGTTTTCTTAATAACATCATGCCAAATAAATACTAATATTGCAACAATAGTAAAAGTGCTACACTTATATTGTCTTAAAATAAAAAAGCTTCATTATGTCACTTTTATGTATAACATATTTTAAGTAAATTATGATTTAGAATATGGATATATTTCAAACATATGAGGTGACTTGAAGCAGTTATAAATTCTAAAGGTGTTCAGTGAAATTCACAAATACAAATTTGTATAGACCATAAAATGCTCCTAACACTTTTACTAAACTCAATATATACACAACTACAGACACATCTACATAGCAATGACTTATATTCAGTCATTGAAGGGTCTTTAGAAAGTCAAATGAATATTTCCAAAATCATTTTGCCAATAAGAACTGATTCTATGTTCTAAGACAATAGTACCATATTTATTGATTTATCATTTATTCTACTTCTTTGTGTAGTATATTTGATTCAATAGCATGAAAACTGGTAAAATTCCCATATAAAAAAAGTCTGTGGAAAATTCATTGTCATGGCATTTGTATTTAAGGCATCTCTGAAGCCTGAAAATAGAAGTGAAATTATATAAAATAATATATGCTGACAATACACATACTTTAGTCCATTTGTGGAAATCAGACTCTTTCTAGGAAAGCATTTGCAATTATTTTTCATTAATATTTATCTTTTAAAGCTGGGAACTCTTATAGCTGATAGAAGTTTAACAAATTCAAAAGGCTGTGGGGAGTGCAGGAAGAGACTGGACAAAAATCATACACATATGGATGAGGACAGTGGAGGGTAAGGGCATGGGGTGGGGTGGGAACTGGGTGGAGGGGAGCTATGAGTGGGAAAAAGAGGAACAACTATAATAATCTGAACAATAAAGATTTATTTTTTTAAAGTTTAACAAATTCATATTATCCTCATGATAACTTTATTTTCCTTCGTAAGACTAATGGAAAGACTAGATAACAACAAGATTCTTAAGCAACTTCCTTAATGTAAATGATGAAGGACCAAATGGATCAAAGGAGGAACAAAATACACAGAAAGGATAAAACAGTCTGAAGCACAAACCATAGGGAGTAAGTAATAATTGATAGAAAACCATGGTTGGGGGCTCCTGTGTTTGTGTGTGAAGACGGTAGGCATGGTAGCTCTATGGATGCAGCATGAGCCCATGAGCTAGAAATCAGGCTTAATATATGTGGAGCCACAAGCAATGCCCTAGCTGGTCTTTTCAAAAGCATTGTCTAATGGACTACAAGCTATATGCAACCCAGTATCTTTTCCCCCGACAAACACTAAATAAAGATCACATTCATTTTAACTGAAAGAACATAAGTTGAAGTATTGCATTCTATTCTCAAGCTATGAGCTAAAGTCTAGGACCTTGTTTGGGATGCAATTGACACTCACTTTATTGTTTGTTGCATTGGAGCCTACCACTTCTTATTAGCTAAAAGTTTCCCTTGCATTACTTCATGAGGCCTTTGGGGAACCTAAATTCTTGGTTAAAATTTCTACAATCCGGGATCCAAGATGGCTGCGCCTAGGTGAACACCTAGCCGCAGCCGCACACAACAATTTCAATAAAATACAAGTAAAATATAAAACAGACATTGCCCAGAACTACAGGAAGGTTGACTGACTGGAAATTCTACAGCGAGAAGCAAGGAGAAAACCAGAAGGAGGCGTGGAGGAGCTGGAAAAGCCCAAGGTACGGAGACACATGGTGTGCGGAGAGGATGGAGTCAGAGAGGAGGGTGGCTGAGTGCCTGGCTAGCGTTCCCTAGCGGGAAGGAGAAAAAACGCTCCGACTGTGCTGGGCCCCCGACTGCTCTGAACCCCAGTTCTAGGCCAGACCCCGGGGACTCAGGCTCAGCCATAGGGAGCTGGGCTGTAAGGCGGAACCCCGGGGAGCTGCAAAAGGAGGTCCTGGCGGCGCGCACATTGTGTGCAGAGAAGGGACGGTTGTCTGTGCCGTGGGATTGCCCTGACGGGAAGGAGACTGGGGCTCCAGACTGCTATGAACGCCACCTCCAACTCCACTTCCAACTGAACTGAACCCCAATACCAGGCTCATTGTGGGAGAGCATAGACTGTTTGGCAGCAGGCAAAAATCGAGGGCACCTTTCTCTCAGAGGCGCCGGCAGCGAGCACTGAAGGACCCGCATAGGGCGGGGCTGATGGAAGCCAAAGCTGCAGGCTCCACCCTGAAACCCCGTCCCATCTGTAACTGCGAAATGCGACAACAAAATAGATCACAAACGAAAGAAATGGAGGACAAAAAGCATCTGGATATAGAGTTCAAATCTACGCTTATAAGGTTTTTCAAGAATTTCCTAGAAAAGATGGATAAGACCTATGAGGATATGAAAAGAGATCAACTAGAATTAATAAGGAGTCATCAAGAAATGATAAGGGATCAACAAGAAATAAAGAATACATTGTTTGAAATAAAAAATATTTTACAGAGTCCTAAAAACAGAAGGGAAGATCGCAAGAATCAAGTCAAAGATTTGGAACTAAAGAGCCAGAAGACACTCCTCCACAGAAGCTAGAAGGCAAGAGAATCCAGAAAATTGAAGATAATGTAAGAAACCTCTGGGACAACTTCAAGCGAACCAACATCAGAATTACGGGGGTCCCAGAAGAGAGAGAGCAAGATACCAAAAACATACTGAAAGAAATAGTGACAGAAAACTTCCCCCACCTGGGGAAAGAATTAGACTTACAAGTCCAGGAAGCGCACAGAACTCCAAACAAAAGGAATCCAAAGAGGACCACACCAAGACACAACATAATTAAAATTCCAAGAGCAAAAGACAAAGAGAGAATATTAAAAGAAGCAAGAGCAAAGAAGGTAGTTACCTATAAAGGAGCACCTATACGATTGTCAGCTGACTTCTCAACAGAAACCATGCAGGCCAGAAGGGAATGGCAAGAAATATTCAAGGTGATGAATAGTAAGAACCTACAGCCAAAGATAATCTATCCAGCAAAGCTATCACTCAGAATTGAAGGCCAGATAAAGAGCTTCACCAATAAAAAAAAGCTAACGGAGTTCATCACCGCCAAACCAGAATTATATGAATTGCTGAAGGGGGTTCTTTCAGAAAAGAAAGTAAATAAAGATAAAAATTATGAACAATAAATACGTAACTATCAACAAGTGAATCTAAAAACCAAGGAAATTAAAAAAAAAATCTGATGAACAATAGTAACTGTTGAATATAATAGAATCAGAGGTATGGAAGGGGAGTGAACTGACGATTCTTGGGGAAAAGGGGAGAGGGGGGGCGTGGGAAGAGACTGAACATAAACTGTGCACCTATGGATGAGGACAATGGGGGGTGGGGAAAAGGCAGAGGGTGGGGTGGGAACCTGGTGGAGGAGAGCAATGGTGGGGGGGGAAAAAAGAACATTTGTAATAATATGAACACTAAAAACTTATTTTTTTTTAAAAAAGCCGCTCAATAAAAACTTATTTTTTAAAAAAAGCCGCTCAGCTTTAGTAATAAAAAAAAAAATTCTACAATCCAATGCTTGATAACAATACTACATATGTATTTTAAAAGAAACAATTTTATAACAACAATCTGAATTTTGATAGATGATTTTCAAGTAAAAAATATCTTAGAGCATTTAGAAGGACTTGGATCGTTCAAACGCCTATTATAAACATAAAGAGAACAATAAAGGAAGAGTTACCAGTTTTATCCATGGAATTTGGTTCTGATTGTTTCTTGCCAATATCAGCAAAAGAACGGACAATGGGGATTCTATTGGTGAGTTTTTTCTGATTCTGGTGGTGATGCTGTTTCATCAGTGCCTCATGGACCCTGTGGCGTACATCCTCGTTGAGCTGACCTGAGCTCACTTGTTGGTCAAGGACCATATCTGGAAAGGGAATGCGGGAAGATTAGCACAGCTCTCCTGTAGTGTGGCAGCAGGGGACCTGTGAGTCCAAATACCCAGCCTCTAGATAATACTACCAGTCATCTTAAAATAGGAATAAATTCTTTAAAAAAATTCTAGGAAGTTTCTCTTTGTAGAAAAGTTGCACAAGAAAGACTTAGGAAATTTTGTATTATAAACATTCAACTTTAAATATGTAATGGTCATATAGAGGATTATATTTCAAATAGACATATTTGAAATGTATTGAGAAAAAGGTGCTTTCTGAAAAACGTGTTTATGTAAAAAAAAAAAAAAAAAAAAAAAAAGGCCTTCTATAACCACAAAACAAAGTATAAAAAGTGAGATTTCGGAAGTCTATAATTAAGAATAATAGCTACCATATGCAGTGTCCTAAATGTCTATAAAATAAGTAAGTAAATAAAGGCATTTTAAATTTGTTGGTAATACAAAGCTCACTTCAATAAACCTCAGTGTAATTAATCTGCTTTTAGATGATCAGGTATTAACTTGGATTTTTTTTAGATACTCCTTATATGAAACAAACGGAGCACAATGAATTACCTTCCACTGCCCACTGAATACACTGAAGGTTTAAAAATTAGCAGAATTCTCCCTTACAATGTTTCCTCCAGTGTGAACAAGCAGGACTATGGAAATAGACTTGGTTTCCACTGTGCCACATTCTACCTGTGTGCTTTTGTAAAGTTGAATAACCTCAGGGTTCTTGTTTGTAAGATGGAGATAATACCTAACTCATATGTTGCTCCATGACTAAGGACATAAGACACCTAAAGTGCTGATTGAATACTGACACCCTCAGTAAATAACTCGCACTACAAAATTTCCTTAGCAATTTCCATTAAGTAGGCTATTGGTTTGAATCTTGCAGTTTTAATACATTCATCTGTGTTTTATAATAATGTATCAAATGCAGACAAAATTGGGTTTATCAATAATAGAAAACCCAAATCAAACTAAGACAGTGACTTTCATTGGCTTATAAAACAGGAAGGTCCAAGTTAGGTTGGATTGAATTCCATTCTCTCTGATTCTGTCAGGATTCCCTTTCTCTAAGTGTGAGCTTTAACCTCAGGCTGATTTTCCTTGTCAAAAGGTGGCTGCCAAGAACAACAAGGAAATACTTCACTGGTATCCATAGATTCTTTTCCTTTTTGAGACTTTCTCCCTCTAAAAAAAAAAAATCGTTATTTTTCCCCTGCCCAGGAAAAATTTTCCTTTGTCAAGTGACACAGCTTTGCCTATGCTGAGCCAATCACTGGCAAAAGCAATGCCCCACCACCACCACCACCATGGAGCCTTAAATGAATCAAGACCTGACCTATACTCTAGAGTCAGTTCTCTAAACCAGAGGTAGACAAACCTTTTCTATAATGGGCCAAATATCATGTATTTTAGGATTTGGGGGCCATACAATCTCTGTCCCAATTACTCAGCTCTGCCTTTATAGCACAGAAATAGACAACATGTGCACAAATAAGCATGGTTGTGTTTCAGTAATACTGGTATGGACACTGAAAATTGAATTTTATATCATATTCACGTCACAAAATAGTAATCATTTTGTGATTTTTTTTCAATCATGTGAAATGTAATAACCATTCTTAGTTCATAAGCCTGACAAAATCAGGCAGTAGGCCATATTTGCACATAGAGTATACTTTGCCAACCTTTGCTCTATCACTTTGCAGTTAAAATGGAAAGGGATAATAGACATGTGTCAAAGTCAGCTGTAATGTAATGTACACTATAATTAACTTTAAAGTCCCTTCTAATTCTGAAAATCAATGATAGTATAGAATAACTCATCTATATCTCAGTTCTCTGGAGATCAGTAGTTATAATACTCCTGGAACAATTTTGAAATAAGAAAAGGATAAATTGTCAATATACATGACTTTATACTAAAATCTTACTAAGATTGAAAAATGTACATAAAATATGCAATATATATCTCATATTGGGAATTGTGAAGTAAGTTATTAAAACATCAGAGGTATGCCATCGTAAGGCAGTTTCATCTATAAGCTGTGCTATGTATCCCCAGTTCAATATTCTAATAAGAATAAAAATGAGTTATATAATATAAGCCATGGACATAGTTATGATTTGTGATTCCTACTAAAGCACAATCTTTCCAGGCTTGAGTACCTCAAAAACCTGTAAGTCAGTAGCTTCACAGTGTTTCAAAAAATAAGGTCTTTATTTGAAAGAGTTACATAAGAGAAAGCAAATAGGAAAAAAACTCATCTGCTCATTAGCCACACAGACGTACCCAGCAAACTCCTCTGAGCTACAACTGCATCAAATAACATCTTAATGAACTGGAAAAGTTAATCATCTTGCTTAAGAATATAAATTATACTGAGGTGATATTTAAGTACCAAAGGGAGTCTGATCCACTGATCACTTATATTGTTCTCTTCACCACTGTAATATATGTTAGTATTAACCTTGAGAGTAGGGAAGGATAATGGACCATAATGGCTTTGGGCCCAGAGTCAAGTCCCACAGGCTGGCCTGCCTAATAATAAAGTCTGGCCTGCCAAAGCACAATACCAGGATCTGGATGATAAGAAAAGAAGCAAGAAGAAAAGAAAGGATAAATAGATCTTGCTCTTCTATTACTAAGCTGGCTCTGAAAAAACTATAGCATTTGTGAAAAAAAGACCTAAGAAAATGAAAAATTATTTTTCATCTTAAACAGACAATTTCTTTTATTTTTTTTTTGACTCAAACTATAACTTTTTTATTTAAAAAATTTTATATTCAATATTACTTTGTGCTACTTTCAAGTGTATGGCATTAGGAAATCATATACTTTACTAAGTGGTCCCCAGAACTTCCAATACCCACCTGACACTATACACAGTTATTACAGTACCAGAGGTCTGGTGCACAGGTTCGTGCAACTGATGGGGTCCCTCAGCCTGGCCTGTACCCTCTCGCAATTTGTGGTTCCTGTGGGATGCTAGGTTGCTGGTTTCAGCCCGATCCCCACAGGCCAGACAGGCAGAAACTGGCAGTAGTGTGCAAAGCCAGGCCTGCAGGGATCGGGCCATAACAGGAAGTCCAACATCCCCAAAAGATGTAGTAGTGCGCAAAATGGCAGGTGTCTGGGAGGGACCCGAGCTCAGGCCAGGCACCGCTCCTGGTTATCCTGGCCCAGCTGCACCTGCCACAGCCACTCGGTAGTACTGCCATGAGGTGAAAGAGGCTTATGCTACTGCAGCTACACTTGCCAGCCGTGAGCCCAGCATCTGGTGCCCATTGGTCAGCTGTGGGAGCATACTGACCACCAGGAGGCAGCTCCTGCACTGAGCGTCTTCCCCCTGGTGGTCAGTGTGCATCATAGCAACTAGTCAGTCAATCAGTCGACCAGTTGCTTAGGGTTTTATATATATATAAACTAGAGGCCTGGTGCATGAAATGCATGCATGGTAGGGGGGTCCCTCAGCCCGGCCCGCACCTTCTCCAATCCGGGCCGGGCTGAGGGACCCCCCTACCATGGGATGTTCAACTGCCAGTTTAGGCCCAAACCCCGTGAGGTCAGTCCTAAACTGCAGTCGGACATCCCTCTCACAATCTGAGATTGCTGGCTCCTAACAATTCACCTGCCTGCCTGATCACTCCTAACCACTCTGCCTGCCTACCTGATCATCCCTAACCATCCTGGTCACCCCTATCTGCCTGGTCATGCCTAACTGCCCTCCCCTGCTGGCCTGAGTGCCCTTAACTGTCTTCCCCTGCCCTCCCCTGCCAGCCTGATTGCCCCTAACCTCCTCTGCCTCAGCCCCTGCCACCATGGCTTTGTCTAGAAGGAAGGTAGGATGACCAGAAGATGTCCAGTTGACCTGATCTAATTAACATATTACCCTTTTATTAGTATAGATTACTGACTATATTTCCTCTGCTGTAATTTAAATTCCTGTAATCATTCTGTAACCAATCTGTACTTCTCAATCCTTTAACCTTTTTCACCAGTCTCCCACCCTACTTCCCTCTGGCAACCATCAGTCCATTCTCTGTATCTATGAGTCCATTTCTATTTAGTTTGTTAATTATAATGCTCTGTAGATTCTACATATAAGTGAAATCATATGGTATTTGCCTTTCTCTGGCTGACTTATTTCACTCACCAATAACATCCTCTAGGTCAACAGACAATTATTTTTTTATGATCAATCTATTTGATAACTGAATGAAACCCTCTAGAGAAGTGGTTCTCAACCTTTCTAATGCCACAACCACCCTTTAACACAGTTCCCCATGTTTTGGTGACCCTCAACCATAAAATTATTTCCGTTGCTACTTCATAACTGTAATTTTGCTACTGTTATGAATAGTAATTTACATATCTGTGTTTTCCGATGGTCTTAGGCATTCCTGCTAGAAGTTCAGTTATGAAGTAGCAACGAAAATAATTTTATGGTTGGGGGTCACCAAAACATGGGGAACTGTATTAAAGGGTTGAGGCATTAGAAAGGTTGAGAATCACTGGTTTAGAGATTATGTGATTTTATAGATTCTATGTAAATCTCTGAACTCTTTAAAGATTATTATATAAATGCTTTGTCCTAAAAACCCATTGTCTTAACTTTAAAAAATGTTCAGGAAGGAGTGGGAAATAGGATGGGTTTAAATCCTAAATTTGTTTGACAGCACTAAGAAATGTACTAAAAATATAAACTACTAAGAAAATACATACTTTCCAGACTAAGGACTGTAATAGTGTAAGCATGTTTTAAAATATATGACATTCCCATACTCCTAACTTTGCATATTACATTCAGTAGAGCAAACTATGGATTTTTACTTCACTGAAAGAATTTAGACAATAAAACTTAATTTAATGAGTTCAGGGCAATGATTAATCTTTCCATGGTACTAACTTTAGTTTAGTTTTAATTTCTTACTCTCATTGACAGAATTAGGCTAAAGTATACACCTTGCAGAAATAATATTTCCATTATTCATCTTTACAGTGTTATATTTTAAAGAGATTAACACAGACCATAAAATTGCCTATGATTTGTAAAATGTAATTAATAATAATTTTAATACAATTAATCTTCATATCAGAATAAATTGTGGTAAGAAAATATATCTTGAAAGTGTTTTAAAAGGGTTAAGTAATATTTTGAAGGAAGTTTACATTTATTCTGAGTTCCCTGAAACATTGGGAAATAGACATTTTTAAATTAACTTTATCCAAAAGAAAATCCTACTTTAATTATACCAGAAATTCTTAACAGACCTGCCAGATATAAATGGGATTTTCTCCTACTAAGTCTATAAAACCTCTTTAAAAAATGATCTAAGAGTCTATTAAAAACATCAAAATAATGATATAAAAATCCTTCATCATTCTAAAACAATATCTGAGTCATAATCTTCTGCTAGAAAATTCCTAAAAAACATTAATGCTGCAGAGCCCAGGCATTTTGCAAAGTACTCAGATTTAGAGCTCTTAAAATAAACTATTAAATCTAGATTTTGGAAAACAGAAATAAGTGACTAATGTGTTAGTAACTGCCTAACATATAGAAAATTGTGATAGATAAAGGTAAAGAGAAAAGTTCAGACCTTATTGTCAATCATTATGGTCACAAATTACCCTATCTAATAAAAGAATAATATGCAAATTGACTGTCACTCCAACTCACAAGATGGCTGCTCCCCTATGGACACAAGATGGCTGCCATAAGATGGCCAGCAAGGGAGGACAATTGTGGGCAATCAGACAGCCTGAGAAGTCTCCCACACTGTATCCCAGAGAAGACAGAGAAGCAGCCCGCTTGCAATCCAGGCACCAGCAACTGCAGCAGGCTACAGACTGGTAAATGGAGAAGCCGTCCACCCCACAGTCCTGGGCACCAGTACCTGTGGCTGACTGTGGCCTGGGAGACGAAGAAGCCACCCACCCCGTGGTCCCTAACCACCAGCACTTGCGGCTGCAGCCCAGGCAAAGCCACCTACCCACCATCCCCTGTGGCTGCAGCCAGCCTGGGCACCTATGGTTGACCAGAGGAAGGGAAGCCCAGGTCCCGCTGCCTGTGGTCGGCTGGAGGAGGGAATCCTAAGTCCCAGATGTGGGGTTGAGGCAGAGGTGGTTAGGGCAATCAAGCCAGCAGGGGAGCAGTTAAGGACAATCAGGGTGGCAGGCAGAAGAAGTTAGGGGCCATCAGGCAAGCAGGCAGGCAAGTGATTAGGAGACAGCTGGTCTGGATTGTGAGAGGAATGTCCAACACCAGTTATCCCCTGAGGTGTCCCAGATTGGAAAGGGTGCAGGCCAGGCTGAGGGACATCCTCCCCCTCCTCCCAATGCATGAATGTCATGCACCGGGCCACTAGTATACCATGATCAGGTGGGATTTATCCCACAGACACAAGAATGGTTCAACATCTGCAAATCAATCAACACGGTATTCCAAATTAACAAAGGATAAAAATTAGATCATCAGTTCAAAAGATGTAGAAAAACCATTTGACAAAATTCAACACCCATTTATGATTTTAAAAAATGCTCAACAAACTGGGTACAGAAGAAAAGTACCTCAATATAATAAAGGCCACACACACATGACCAACCTACTGCTGACATTATACTTAGCAGTGAAAACCTGAAAGCATTTCATCTGAGGTCAGGAACAAGACAAGGATAGCCACTCAAGTCACTTTTATTTAGTGTAGTATTGGAAGGCCTAGCAACAACAATTAGGCAAGGAAATAACGTAAAATGCACCCAAATCTCCTAGGAGTTTTATGGTTTCAGGGCTTACATTTAAGTCTTTAATCTAGTTTTAACATATCAGCACCTATCAGCAACCAAATCAATAATCTTTAAATTAATCAAACTGCCATTAAAATATGGGCTATATCCCCTGGAAATTTACTCTTTCTTCAGACAGTAATGTAGTTGATAGATCCTCCGTTATGGATGGAGCATGACATAACCTGCACCTGTGTCTTGGACATTCCCGAAGACCTAACCAGGCACCTTATATGGACTATACACCAATCAGCACCAGCCAAATACCCTAAGCTCTTGATTCCTAAGTACCTAAGTACCTAATCAGGTGCCTTATATGAAACCACCAATCAGTGTGTGCCAAGTACCCTAAGCCCCATCCCTTCCCATTCCCCCCATCAAAAGGAGTGTTCACCTCTTTCAAAACTCATTTCTGTGCTTTTTGTGTTATTTTGTTTTTACTAACATGTGTTTGTTTCTCAAACCATAAGATACATGAGCTCTTTGCCTCTATTTCTAGAATACCAATAATATGCATCCTAAATATTATTCACTGCTTGTGTGATGTTGCCATACAGGCTTCTGATGCAAATCATTCACCCCAGGGGCTGGTCATAGAATTCAATTACAAACTATCTCAACTGCATCACTTGGCAGCCTCTAGGATTCAAGAGTTTAAAATAAATGATCATACCTTCCTATTCTTTTGTAAACTAACATTTTTCCCATTTACTATATATAAAAATTTCCCTCTTGGTTATTTCATGTATCATACTTTAATATTGAAAAACATCAATCTCTAGCTTTATGATTTTTTCCCCTTACATTTTTTAATGGTGACAGTCTAATTAAATATAATGGTGAAAATAATAAAAATTAAGTGGATGTCAGGATATCTAGATTCTTGTTCTAGACTTGCCACTGGACCAGTTAAACCATATTTTTCTGATACTCAACTTACTTTATGTTAAATAAGAAGACTGGAAAATTATTTTTAAGATGTCGTACACTGATTGTGAGAATTTATTTTTCAAAGGTCACACATGTATAGAATTATAAGGAAAAGGTAGTAACATTGATCAGCGGTAGGCATGAGTGAAATAGGCTAAAGGAGAGGAAAAGATATACCTGCAATTTCTTCTAAAGTATTGGCATGCATGTCCAGCAACACAGTTCCATTCAGAATACAACTTCTCAACTCAAACAAGCTGTGTAATGAAAGAGTTGCCACATAAGGCTTGCTCCACCTCTCTCCTCCATCTTCCACATCTTCTTCAAACTTCAACCACCTACACAAATAAATATTATCAAAACATTGAATATTATCTAGATCCATGATGATTTATCTTAATAATAAAAAGTAGAAATAGTCCAGCTGGTATGGCTCAGAGGTTGAACACTGACCCAGGAACCAAAAGGTCACCGTTTTTATTCCCAGGCAGAGCACATGCCTCATCAATCCTCTCCTCTCTCTCTAAAATCAATAAATACATATATTAAAAAGTAGAAATATAAAGATATTTAATTGATTCTTGGTTTCATGGGTTTTGAAAGTAAGTAAAAGCTATCCCAAGTCACTCAGTTTCTTTTACTTACTAGTCATGCTTTTTTGTCGTTGAATAACATATTAAAACAAAAAAACTCATATAATTTTATATTAATTTGTCTAGCTCTAAAGAAGAATTTTGATATAAATGTTTCATCAGTGGTTACAATGAATCCATTATAGAAGTAAGAAAGAGTATATATACTTCATGAAAAATAATGATAATTGAAAGAGATGCAAAAGAAAATAAAAGAATACTCATTTTTCTTTAGTGGGAGGTCTTAAAACTGAATATTTTTTTAAAATATTTTTTTATTGATTTCAAGAGGAAGTGAGAAAGAGAGAAACATCAATGATGAGAGATAATCACTAATTGGCTGCCTCCTTCACGCCCCCTACTGGGGATCAAACTTGAAACCTGGAATAGAACCCAGGACCTTCCAGTCCTCAGCCCAACACTCTTATTCACTGAGCCAAACTGGCTTGGACTTAAAACTGAATACTTGAGTCTCTTGATAATTTTTCCATTCGATTAGAGAAGCTTGTATAACTTGAGGACTATATTATAGGGAAAATACTTATTAGGCCTGTTGGATAAAATCTAATGATTGCAGTCACCTTCTAAGAATTAAACTTAGGAGAATTGTGCTCAGCCCTCATTCCCTGGGCCTTCTTGCCAGGAATGGGGAATAGAAGAACCTTGATATCATGGTGCCAAATGGACACCACTGCCCTCTTGGAGTGAAATAAATAGTCATATATATCTGAGATTGTTTCTAAAGACAAATGGAAGGAATAAAGAGAAAACTGTGATTTTTTTTTATTGCTTTGGCATAAACACCAAATCTCATTCTCTTAGGGACTTGCCCTCTAATCTTAATAGATGACCAATTTAATTCCAACTTTTTAAAAAGTTTTTGTTTTAGACAGAGGAAGGGAGAGGGAGAGTTAGAAACATCAATAGTGAGGAGAGAGAATTATCATTCTAATGGCTGTCTCCTGCACACCTACTCCCACTGGGGATCAAGCCCACAACCCAAGCATGTACCCTAACCAGGAATCAAACAATGACCTCAACCAATGAGCCACACCAGGCAAGCTAATTCCAACATTTCTAATGAATCCTAACATAAATTGTGTTTCCTACCCCCTCACCCACTATTTTCCTCATTCTTTCCCTAGTGTCATTTTGCCCTAGCTTCCTCTCTCAATTCAGTACCACTCCAATTCCCTATGTGATATTATATTACTGATTTGCATAATCAAATGATCCAGTGCCAACAGAGGACAAATACATTGCACTAACTAGTTAGGGAACAGTAGATCAGTCAAAAATAACTAACCAAAAAGGCTAGTCAGAATGATTAATATGCAGAGTTCCAAAGGAAGATAAAGGAAGCTGTGGATTTGTCTTCAGTGTTCAGGGAGCAAAAAATTTCCAGGAAGTGAAAAGAAACCCAATAGGGGAGAATAATTATGCTGGCCAAAAGTTTCAGATAGGGGGAAATAACTATACCTACAAAAATATAGGTATAACTATACCTATATAACTATCCTATATAATCCTATATAATAAAGAGTTAATATGCTAATTAGAACAGCAGAATGACCATCTGTACATCCTTCCGGACAGCTGTCCAGATGAAACCAGGGCTGCAAGGGCTGACTAAGGCTGTGAGGGAAGACTAGCCAAGGCTGCAAAGTGCTGCAAGGGCCAGCTGGGGCTGTGAGGGAGGGCTGGCTGGGGCTGCAAGGGCCAAGCCCCTTACATGAATTTTGTACCTCAGGCCTCTGGTACATAAATAAAACACTTGAAGGTTTAAAAAAAAAAAGAAAGAAACTTATATTTAAGTCGTAAATCACTGTCAGTATTTCTAAAATTGCTGGTAATTTTATAGAATACTAGAGGCCTGGTGCATGAAATTCGTGCACTGGGGAGGGGGGAGGACCCTCAGCCCAGATGGCTAGAGAATGCAGGCCAGGCCAACAGACCCCACTGGTGCATGATTGGGGCCAGGGAGGGACTCAGGAGGTTGGCCAGCCGAGGAGGGACCATGGGAGGGCTGTGTCATCTCAACTATAAAACCACTCTTAAAATGTTGTATTTAAACTTTCACTCAAGTAAGAAATCCTGAAAAATATTTCTACATTATTAAAATATTATCATTTCATAATTATTTAAATGTAAATTCATAAACTAAACCACACAATAATGTTGTTTTGTGAGCTTTGATAACACAGGTAATAAGTTCATTTTTTAAATACTAGTTGGGCTTCTAGATCTACATACATTAGCAAACCCTTTCATATAAGGAAAATTATAGTTAAATTTTATACTTCCAAATAACAGTGAAGATAATTAAATAAACAATAAAACATCTATATCAATTTATCTTGGCACCTTGAAAATGAAAACTTAAATTTTAAGAATTCCTGGGGGTGGGGGTGAATGTGTAGTCTCATGCATTTTTATCCCACGTATAGATAGATTCAGTAACGACTAACACAATCATGATACAACACTGTTCCACACCACAAAGAATTTTCCCTGTCTGTAGCTTGTCTTTTCATCCTGTTAACAAGGTCTCTCACAGTACTAAAGTTTTTAGTTTGAGTGAAATCTAATTTATAATTCTTTTCTTTTATGGATGTACTTTTGATATCATGTATGAAAACTCAACATCCAGCTTCAGGTCCTTAAGATTTTTACCTATCCTTTCTCTAAAATCTTCATAGCTTTATGTTTTAAATTTATAATTTACTGTCAATTAATTTTTGTATACACTGTGAGGTTTAGACTGAGGCTAATTTTTTTTTTACCTGTAGATAATTGTTTCAGTACCATTTGTTCAAAAGACAAGTCTTCCTTTATTTAAAAGTTCCCTTTGTCAAAACTCAGCAGTATTTGTGTTGGTCTTTCCCAGTTCCCTATTCTGCTGCACTGATCTATGTGTCTGTTTGAAAAGACATTTTAAAAACAAATCCAAAAGGTATATTCTTTTCTTTAGAATAATTTCCTTTAAATTGGGTCCTTGGCCTTTTGGAAAAGGAGAATGAAGTCTCTGGGAATTCCAAACAACTGGGTAGTTAAAAGGGCCACATGTAAGTTATTTGCACGAATGGTTTGATTTAGCAACAGGTTTTGTGACCACTTCAGATAATGTGAAAGGCTTTGAGATAATGCTAAAAGCTTTAAGATATTTAAATATTTTAAAGACTACATTAATATATATATATATATATATATATATATATATATTACATAAATATAGCTACTTTCTGGGAGGTGGGGGGAGGGAACGGGGTTCATTCCATTTTAAACTTCAAAGATAAAAATTAACAGGTCTGGGAACACACCAAATCCTGATTCAAAATTTCGTAGTCACTGAGTATGCTGTCAGTTGCAAAATGCCTGATTGCAGTTAATGACCTAAAGTGCTGCAATTTATTCCAGTTTTCAAATAAACTCAGCTGACATTTGTTTGAATAGCAAACCAAAGCAAACAAGAATCTCACAGGCATGAATGAGAAGTGATGGACAATGAAAAAAAACCAAGGTTATAGGCCAAATGCATGCCATTTTCTATGGGGGAGGGACAAGTTTAAACTCAAAGAATATTTTGATTTCCTTCAGTATCTGCATCTGTTTTCATCCATGATTAGCACATTGGAATCTCTTTGTACTAAACTACAACAACCTAATAGAGGTGTTTCATTAATTCTTTGAGGATTAAGTTGGCAATAATCTCTATAATACTCATATTAAAAGTCTACAAAATAAATTTCTTCTGTAAATTAGAAATAGATGTTTTTCATATATATTAACTCTGTTTATTCCATTTTCACTAATTCTGATGACCTTTGCAAAAAAATTTTATTCTCTGCTTGTACTCATATAGAAAGAGAGGTTAGTTAATATACCATCCAAAATTATAGCCTCGGGGAAGTCATAGATTCTCAAGAGAAAACATCCTCCTTTGGATAGAGCTGGGGATATAGAGAGCTAGAGTGGGGAAATGGTTAGGGTGGGGGCCTGAGAATAACGTATGTAATTAAAAAGGGCCTATTTTAACAAAAAAGAGGGGAAATCAAATATAACCAAACCTAGAGTTTATGGATATTAGGTGTTCTTAATCCATATTATCTTCACACCTCATATGGCACTGAAAAATCGTGATGACTTGAACCTTTGCTACTTTTGAATATCAAATGCTTCACAACATCAATAAAATCATTCTGAGGTAGTCATCCTTTCTATATTACCATGTATGCATCAGAGGCCTCACTGCTACCCCCTGCTTGGTCTCCTCTGAGCTCCTTTGTGGAAAGCACTTTTTAAAGGACAACCACAGTGAGTCAAGCATGTTGTCTCCACAAGTGCACAGCTGTGGTGTCTTTGAGCACTTTCCTATTAATAACATTATATGTTATTTATAATCAGAACACTCTAATCTTGTTGATTTCATTAGTCCTTGTCATATGGCTTCTTTAGGGTTTTTAAAAGTGAACAGCTGTTTTTCACAAACATTTATTAAATAATTTTGATTCAAAAATTTCACTTCAAAATCTAAAACTTTGCTCAAGTTTTACTTGGCAACAACAGTGGGCATGAATTATTCAAGATGTGAAATATGACAGGTGCAATGTGCTGATAAACTATATTCTTTTTATTTCTACTAGGATAGAAACATATTAATCCCCCTGGAATACTAATCAAAAGAATGAAGTGCTTCAAATGGTATGCTAATGATCTATTAGAATAAAGTTTCATTTGAAAAATTAGATGAAGTAATGAATTAACTAATTAGCCTTTTTAAATGAATTAGGGACACCAGAACAAAGTTACTTCTGCCACTTTAAAACCCACTACATTTTTTTAATTTAAAAATATATTTTATTGATTTTTTACAGAGAGGAAGGGAGAGAGATAGAGAGCTAGAAATGTCGATGAGAGAGAAACATTGACCAGCTGCCTCTTGCACACCCCCTACCGGGGATGTGCCCGCAACCAACGTACATGCCCCTGACCAGAATCGAACCTGGAACCGTTCAGTCCACAGACTGAGGCTCTACCACTGAGCCAAACCAGTTTCGGCCCCACTACATTTCTTAGTCTTCAACAAATACGTACTGTTCTTCCCTGATGTATTGTCTCAGCCAAAATTCAAGTACCCTCCTCTTCAATGTCTGTTACTATTTGATTGTTAATCAGATGTCTCCCTAAACCTTAAACAGTTGCACCATGCATGAGGTTCTGGAAGAGATGTCTGAGAACACAGGTCCTAGCTAATAATATTCAAGAATATTAATAATTAGCTAGATCATCTCTTTTATCCTTTACTAGAGGCTAGAGGTCCGGTGCATGAAAAATCATGCACTGCAGGACGGGGGTGGTGGTGGAGGAGGGCAATCCCTCAGCCCAGGCTGCCCCTTTTCACAGTCTGGGAGCCCTCAGGGATGGAAGGCAACCTGGTGATCAGGGGAAGGCGATGCCCCCATCACACCTCTGCTGCTGCCACTGTGAGCAGTGCAAGCCTCAGCCAGCCCTGGTTATCTGAGCCTCAGGTGGCCCTGCATGGCTGGAAAGCCGCCATCCAAGGCTTGCCTGCACCTCAAGCCTGCCCTGGGTGGCTGGGTGACTTGGGGGCAGAGGGCGGGTCTGGCTGCACCATGCACCTGCTGCCCTCCTGGCTGGGCTGAAAGAACTGGGGGACTCCAGTGGGTTTGAGGGGACTGGATGCTGCCATCTTGTGGTTATGGGCACTGCCATCTTTGTGATGGTGTAACAGTAAATTTGCATATTCCCTCTTATTAGATAGGATAAATAAATAGCAATACATTTTGGTGGTTTAGGATAAACACTGTTCAACTCAACCTTTAGAACATGATAAAAATCTTATCGGCTCAACTGTGACAGAGTGAAAGACTAGATTCTAAATTGCCCTGTCACCTACTAGCTTTATGAGACTGGGAAAATTACAAAAAGCTATTGGTTAAAAGGAACAGATAACTATTTGATCTGGAAGGTGAAGCATCAACAAGCATTTTAAGAATAAGAGAGCTACTCATGCCAAAACACATATTCCAAGCTTACTTCTTAGCTATATTCTATGGGATGAGAGTAAAGAAAGAAATACTGCAAGTCATTGGGGGGAGCACTTAGTTCTTCTTTTTTTCCCCATCACCATTTATCCCCTCTATACCTTCTTCCACCTCCACCCTCTCCTACCCCCCAAAATCACCACCTTGTCCAGGAGTTCTCTTGCTTTTTTTTTTTTTTCACTTTTTGCTCAGTCCTCCTACCCCAGCCCCTCCAGAGCTGTCTGCCCACTCTCTATCTATGAATCTGTATCATATTTTGCGTGGCAGTTATAAGAAATACATGTTCTTGTCTCACTATGTGGAATTTAATGAACAATCAGGAACACCTATATTTTATAACTATTTGAAGACTGATGTTTCTAAACTTATACAGGGAGGGTAGGACTTTAAATTCCTTATCAACAAGTCATATAAATAGTTATATCACTAATTTGTGAAGATTGCTGTGGTTTATTTGAAGATTGTTTATCATCAAGTAAAGAAATGACTACATATACTATGTATATTAAAAACTCCAAAGTATTTTGTTTTTTATGCAATTGTAAGAAAAATATAAAGTAAAAGGTTCTTAATCCTGAAATCAACTTGGTTATATAAAAACAATTTCAAATTTGGTTTTATCTTTAAAATATTGTAATAGAAGGCATTATAAGAAAAATTTGTTAATTTTGTAAATTTTTATTTAAAATGTAATTTACACAGAATAAAATTCCATCCATTTTAGGTATTAAAAATGGCAAATAAAGAAAATTATGATTTTACATAAAATAGGTAAAGGAAAGAAGCAATTAGTTCACAAGAATAAAATAAAAACATATGAGGACCTGGCCAGGTAGCTCTGTTAGTTAGTGTCACCCTATACACAAAGATTGCAAGTTTGATCCTTGGTCAGGACATATAAAATAATGAACCAATGAATGCATAAATATGTGGAGCAACAATAAATGTCTCTCTCTTCTCTCTCCCTCTTTCCTTTCTTCTCTCTCAAATAAATTAATTAATTTCAAACATATGAAAAGATGTTCCATCTCACTAATAATTAAAGAATTTCAAGTCAAAACAATGTGATTTATTTTTCATCTGTAAAAATAAAGTTTGGTGATTTAGTATGGCAAGGATTTGGGCAAAATAAGCACTCTCATTGAATGTTAAAGTATAAATTACCAAATCAATTTTTGAAGATAGTTTTTAAATATATTCCAAAGTAAAAAAAAAAATCTGCTTTTTTGTACATAGGTCCACTTTTTGGAAATTCACCCTACATAAATAACCTACAAAATAATGCCAAACATATGAGTAAATAATTACTGCATCAATGACTACAGCAAAAAATTAAACAACCTAAATAAATATTCATATAATTAAATGGAATGCAGTCATTATAAGATGTACATCTGTACTGGTAACATGGAAAGTGGTCCAAATATATTTTTATGTTTTATATATACTTTTATATTATATTTTAAATATATTTTATATATACTGGTAAGCTATTTTGATTCCCTCTCTTTTGCCCTGTGGTTTAAATCATTGCTACCCAAAAACATTGGTGTGACGCCACCTGGAAGAGTGTTAGAATCTGACACTATGCCTGAGGCCTATTAGATCTACATTTCAACAAGATTCCATGTGGCTGGTGTTCACAACCAAACTTGAGAGGCAGAGGGTAAGTGACAATCCTAGGTGTGCCCACAATTCCTTGTGCACACCTGTATTACATCATTCATTTACAATTTTGTTTACTTGCCTAAATCCCCAAATTAGACTATGAGACTGTTGAAGGAAATTTTTAAGTTTTTTGTTATTGTTATATGGCCATTGCACCTGGCACCTAATAGGTAATTTATAAGTGTTTGTTATATAAATGAGACAATGAGCAAGAATAAATAAAAAGTAAATGCAAAATTTAGTTTATTATTCTTTTATAGCAATTCAATGACTATCCAATAATATAGAAATATTAATTACAAATGACAGAAAAAGTAATCTTGAGAAAGTTATTTTGAAAAACACTATGTTTGAATATATACATATCCTAAAAACCTTATAAAATATTTTTATCCTGGCCAATTAGGACAGAAATCCAGGACAATACTTCAAGCCTCTAATATGCCCTGACTGGTTTGGCTCAGTGGATGTAGTGTAAGCCTGCGGACTGAAGGGTCCAAGGTTTGATTCCGGTCAAGGGCATGTACCTTGGTTGTGGGCACATCCCTAATAGGGGGTGTGCAGGAGGCAGCTGATCAATGTTTCTCTTTCATTGATGTTTCTAATCTTTATTCCCCTCCCTTCCTAACTATAAAAAATAATAAAATATTTTTAAAAGCCTCTTATATTTCCCTTCCTTTTTAACACCCCCAACGAAAATTATCATATATCACAGGCCAGCAATCAAAATAAAATAAATAAATTACTTTTAGATTTCTATTGTTTTCCTGATGACACACAAATTATGCTACTGTTTATCTTTAGGACTGCATCTGCTGCTGGCTCTGAGTCACTATTTACTATAATTACTGCCTTCAGAGTTCACTCTGACCCAGACCCCATTATAGGATCTGCCCAGACCAGATGAGCAATTTCAGAAATTAGCAGCATTTGTGGATGTTTGCAAAATCATGGCAATAGATATCTGTTTTTCTAATAGCATGAAAATTCTTTAGTATGCATTCGCCCTTCAACAAAAATCCTCACCTGGCTGTTTCTCGCCACTCTGCATCTTCACCTTCACGCCAGCAAATCTCATCCAGTTCTGTGAAAAGGTCATGAGGAATGTGTTCCTCGTCATCATCCTCAGTTCCAAGAATAAACTGTACCCGCTGTGATGGGGTGTCTGTGGAAAATCAGAGACATGAGCATGCATTACCATGACTTTAAGCTTAAAATGTCCCGGACACCTCCTTCATCACCACTCCAAACTCACACCTCCCCTGCCTCCACTACAACACTTACCTGAAGTAATCTTGGGGAATTAAACCTAAATTTAGCATTACATTAAGTCTAGCATAATTTGGGGAAATAAATATGTAATCTCATAAGCAGATAATGTATATATATATACATTAAAATATGATTATTATGATGATTATTTTGTGTTACTTATAACAATCATAAAAACTACTTTCATTTACCTCACACAACACATACATACATCTCTCATCATATATGCTATATTTTATGGTAATATTCAGAAGAGTAGACTATGATAAATTAACTTATACTAAAACTATGCTGAATATAACTCACTAAAAACTCCCTCAACCCCTAGTAACAACTAATCTGGTTTCCACTGCTTATAGTTTTTTCCTTTTCCGAGATGTCATATAAATGGAAAAATATGGCATGCAGCCTTTTGAGACTGTCGTTGTTCACTTATAATAGTATAATGCCTTTGAGATTTTGAAATTTATCTGTGTAACTAAGTATATCAATAGTTCATTCTTTTTACTGCTGAAAAGTAGTCCATTGTAGAAATGTACAGTTTATTTGTGCAGTCACTTGTTGAAGGATATTTAGGTTGTTTCTAGCGTGAAGCAATTATAAATAGAATTGCGATACTTGTACTTATATGGGTTTTCCAGTGGGACATAAGTCTTCATAGCTCTAGGGTGAGTGCCTAGGGGTAGGATTGTTATGTTATATGCTTAGTGTATTTTTAACTTTATAAAACTGCTTTCCAGAGGGTCTGTACTCTTTCGCATTCTGAGCAGCTATGTATGAGAGAGTTGTACTTGTTCCACATCCTGACCAGCACTTGGTGTCAACTGTTTCTTAGCTGTTCTGTGCAGTGATATCTCATTGCGGTATGTTTTACATTTCTCTGATGTCTATTGTTGACAGTTTTTTGCGTGTTTATTGGTCATCCATATGTCTTTTTTGGTGAAATGTTCGTTGAAATTTGTCAATTTTAAATTAGGTTGATTATTTCTTTACTGTTGAGTTTTGAGAGCTCTTTATAGGTTCTGAATATAAGCCTTTGTTGAACATTATTTTATATCTGAATACATCTGAATGGGGGCTTGAGGGAAGTTGGGGAACTATTTAAAATGAGAGAGACTTTATCATGTCTAACAGATGATGAGAATAATCATTTAGACTACAAATCGTGTAAGTTTCCAGGTGGGAGAAAACAAAAAATAAACATAATTGAAAAGAAAATTCCCTCATTATATTAATGGGGGGGGGCAGTTGCAGATATAAGCATGTAAGTCTATATATCTAATAGAAATGAAGTTGAATGAATTCTTTCTGGTGACGTGTTTCTCTTCTGAAGTACAAGTATCTGCTAAGTGATGGTGAAAAGGAATGGTGAAAAAGGTTGAAGTTGAAAATCATTTTTTTAATCAAAGAAATGCAACAGAATTGGGAAGAAGTATTGAAAATCCATGCAAGTCATGAGTTTAAATGGCTACAATCCACCCGGTTGAAAGACTATGTCCAGCAGAGCATCCCTACTTGAAGAGGAAGGGAGAAAGCAAACACAGGAGAAAACCCAACATAAAAGTATGGATTTTAAAGTAAGAGTGAAGGCATGAATAAATCTATAACAAGGGACCTACAAAATATGGAATATTAGAAAGTATTACTAAAATTACAAACTATGAAATCAAAGTAGAATAAAGAAATAAAGGTTATTACACGGATGGAGGAAAAGTAGAGAAATCAAGTAGTTGCACAAGCAAATAAGAAGAGAAGCTGTGGTCAGAGAGCAAGGTGAGTGCATTCTGAGACAGAGTTATCATGTATGTGTAGGTGAGCTGACTGCAGTGAATGAGGTCATGGGAGACAGGATGGTCAAGGAACTGAAAGGCTGATTCTTGGTTATGTCACGTACACAGGCTTTCAAGGCTCTCAGGAATTGTTAACAACTACCATATCACTACATGTGATATTCTGTATCTACTTTGAAAGGAAAAATAGCAAAAATTTCACATCCTAAGAATAAAATTTGGGCAGATTAGCAATATAAATGGGAACTTCATAAAACATTTTCCCCTGGATTTTCAAACTACATAGAGCAATGACTATTATTGGGATAAATTAACAAGAGTTTATACAACTAAATTTTACTACTTAAGTGTTTTTCCTCACTCACAAATCTAACACAATTCTCACCTTCATAAAGCAGATGCATAAGAGAAAAATAAGGATCAAGTTTTTTCTCTACCACTTCTTCCCAATCTGTCCAACACAACATAATTTAGAAAAGTATAAACTAAATAAGTAGATGGCTGTTAATTAGGATTGTACAAACAAATGCGATATTGCTATGGTCACAAATTTAATAAAAGAAGGCAATTCTTACCAAAGGAAGGTGACTCCCTTCCATCCTCTAATCCCGAATCTCTCTCTCTGTCTCTCTTTCTGTGTTTATGACCACGATGCCTGTGACGTCGGTGGCTTTTTCTTCCTCCCAGGGGCACATGAACTCCAATAAATAGTGTCCGATGACCTTATCAAAAGTAAAAGTACAAATTAAACTCTACATTATTCCAGATCACAGAAGATGATTATTTCATGTCAATGAAAACTCAATTCAATTCAATCCAGCACATAGTCTTTGTGTTGATGATGTGTGTAAATCTTAAAGTTTGGCACTTTATTTTGGTATACTATGGATCAGTCACAATACTAACTACTTGGTTATATATTTTATAATCATCAATAGCTTATTAACTGTCATAATGATCTTTCTGTGTCTATTTCCCATAGTTTATAATTACACTGTTATCATTTTTTAAAAATCATTCTTTCACCAACCTTCAACTAGTCAGTTATCTCATCAGTTCTCTTCCCTTCACAGTTGAGTGAAAACTCAGTCTTTAATAAACCGGATTTTACCAAGGTCCCTAGTAATACTGAGTTCTGTGGAGTTTTTCAGCTCTACTGTTTCTGTATGTGGCACTTGACAGCATTGGCCATTTTCTTCTCTATGACTGAACTTTCTCTTGGCCCTCCCTCCACTTTTGTTTTATCCATATGAGTTTCCTTTGTTGGTTCTTCCATTTACTCATTCAAGGTTGGGATCCCTATTACCATAAATTTTACTTACAATATGTCATATCCCAAATAGAATTTTCTATTCTCATAGATATCACCTAAGAAGAATAAAAATATGCTCAATTAATATTTGACAAAGGAGGCAAGAGCATATAATGGAGTCCCGACAGTCTCTTTAATAAATGGTGTTGGGAAAATTGGACAGATACATGCAAACAAAAAAAATGAAACTAGACCACCATCTTACACCATACACAAAAATAAACTCAATATGGAAAAAGGATTTAAATGTAACACGGGAAATCTTAAAAATCTTAGAAGACTCCATAGGCAACTAAATATCAGACATACTACTATGTGTAGCTCCAAGGGCAATGGAAACTAAGAAGAAAATAAACAAACGGAACTATATCAAAATAAAAGCTTCTGCACAGCAAAAGAAATCATCAACAAAACAAGAAAGCCCACTGCATGTGAGAACATATTTTCTAATGTTATCTTCAATAAGAGTTTAATCTCCAACATTTTATAGGGAACTCATACAACTTAACAAAAGGAAGATAAACAACCCAATCAAAAAATGGGCAACGGATCTAAGTAGACACTTTTTGAAAGAGGACATACAAAAGGCCAAGAGACATATGAAAACATACTCAAAGTCACCAATCATCTGATAGATGCAAATCAAAAAAACAATGAAGTCCTATCTCACACTTGTCAAGATGGCTATATTTAATAAATCAACAAATGACCAGTGATGGCAAGGATGCAGAGAAAAAGGAACCCTCATGCACTGCTGGTGGGAATGCAGACTGGTGCAGCCACTGTGGAGAACGGTATGGAATTTCCTCAAAAAATTTAAAATGAAACTTATTTTTGATCCAGTAACCCCACCTGTAGGAATGTATCCCAAGAAAACAGAAACACCAATCAGAAAGGCTCTTTGCGTCCTGTGTTCATAGCAGCACAATTTACAATAGCTAAGATTTGGAAACAACCTAAGTGCCCATCAGCCGATGAGTGGATTAGAAAACTGTGGAACATCTACAAAATGGAACTCTACACCACTGTAAAAAAAGAAGGAATTCTTATCATTTCCAACAGCATGGATGGAACTGAAAAGCATTATGCTAAGCAAAATTAAAGCATTATGCTAAGCCAGTTAAAGTAAGATAAATATTACATGATCTCACTCATTTGTGAAATATAATGAACAACATAAACTGATGAACAAAAATAGAACCAGAGAAACAGAAGCATCGAACAGACTGTACAACCTATAAGGGAAGACAAGAGGTGAGGTGTTAAGAGATCAACCAAAGGACTTGTATGCATGCATATGAGCAAAACCAATGGACACAGACAGTAGGGTGGTGGGAGGTGAGGGCTTGCCATTGAGGTAGGGAATGGTGGGATAGAGGTCAATGGGGGTGGGGGGGAAGAAGACTCATGTAATACTTTAAACAATAAAGGATTTTTTAAAAAAGAAGAATAAAAATTCAAGAAACTTAGTGACAAATGTCATTATTCTGAAATGACTTGGTATTTATTAACTTAACCTAAATTATTTTTAAAGATGATATAAGAATAATGAATAAATTTTTTAATTAGTCAAAACATTCAACAAATTAACTTTATATCATGCTAAAAATCCAAAAAGTAATAAAAATACATGTCATTGAGATATTAATATATTTTGAAAATATTAGGGGAAATGAAACAACAATACTAAGAGGAACTCTCCTATACATTTGTACCACTGTCTTAAGCAAAACAACAGTTGAGATGGCAGTGTTATTTTTTTAAATCTTAAAATATAGTAAGCCTCAATATTTCCTGAATAAATAAAATTAGGTATTTTCTAAGAAAAAAGGAAAGGATAATTTCAATTTTGACAGGCTATCAGATAGCTGAGGCTGGATATTTATAGCACTCAAAGAGAGGCTTACAGTTTAAGTAAGTCAAGAAACAGGATAATAAAAAATGCTTATAGGATATGATAGCTGCACGTAAAAAAAGATAACCATCAAACTGTTACAGACTCAAATCCAAAAAAAACAGTGAATAATATAAATTTGAATATAAATAAAAGCAATAAATAATACTAATCTGTAGGAGTTCATTACAGAGTGAAATCAAGGATACTCTGGGCAAGCAAGGGAAGTTTCATGGAAAAGGTAAAACTTGAGTTGGGTCATAGTATGTAGAGCATGAGGGGAAATAAGATGAGATAGAGCATCTATTTTTTCTTTTTTTATATTTATTTCAGAGTTAGGAAGAGGGGGGGGAGAGAGAGAGAGAGAGAGAGAGAGAGAGAGAGAGAGAGAGAGAGAGAGAAACATCAATGATGAAAGAGAATCATTGATTGGCTGCCTCCTGCATATCTCCTATTTTGGACTGAGCCTGCAATCTGGGCATGTGCCCAGACCAGGAATCAAACTGTGGCCTCCTGTTTCATAGATCGATGCTCAAACACTGAGCCACAATAGCCAGACAGGGCTTCTCTTTTTATAATGACTGAAGCTTGCAATTTCACTATTATTTTAAAGCATTTATGTTTTGTTGTTTTACTTTGCAAGGAATGGGGAGAAAAGAGATCAACATATGTTGATACTTAAAAAATGAAAACAAAAGAGAAGGTGTTACTCTCTACCTTCCCAACTTTTAACTAATTTATAATTTCTGAACAGCCCTGCCACTTAGGTCAGGACATGACCAAAAATGTGAAACTGTAAAATTTTCCAGATTTAGTTTTATATTGTAGTAGAGGCCCGTTGCACAAAGATTCATGCAATAAGCTTTCCTTCCCCTAGCCGCGGGCGCTGGTTTTCCTCCAGCGCCCAGGAACCAGGCCTTCACTCAGCCTCAGTGGAGAAAGGCTCTGCAGTCTTTAGTCTTCAGTCGTCTTCAGCCTTCCGTTTTCAGGCTTCAGTCGTCTTCAGTCTTCAGGCTTCAGGCTTCGTTCAGGCCAGAGTCTTCAGTCCAAGCTCTATGCCTGTGTATGCAAATTAGCCAGCCATCTTAGTTGTGTTAACTTGCATATTCACTCCTGATTGGTTGGTGGGTGTCATGAAGTTATGGTCAATTTGCATATTTCTCTTTTATCAATATAGATTATTCAAAAGACATATGCACACGTAGAAAGGGCTTATTTGAGGACTTGTGGTAATTAGAAAGACAAAGGCTTGCTTAGAAAAACTCAAGAGTCGCTGAGGAGGAAATCAGAGTTCCATGAAGACAGCTGTGGAATTCAACTGTGAAACTGAAGGAATAAAACAAAATATCTGAAAGCAAAGGTGAAAAATACTTGGCATACCTATATAGATGTTTGCAAATAAGTAGATAGTCTTGTAGTGTGGGGTTTTTTTTCATTTGTTTTTTTGTTGTTGTTGTTGTTTTTAGGGCCACAACATTTTAGCAGCTTCTCTCATTGGAGATAGAATCTATTCTTCCAACCCTTGAATCTGGATTTGGGTATGTGTCGTGTTTTGACCTATGAGATATTAGCAAATGTGACAGAAACAAAGGCTCGACAAATACATGGGCATTGGTTTTTCCTCTCCTGCTTCTGGGGACTCTTATGTCACCATGCAATCAGGTCTATCAGCTATATCTACCAGTATACACTCCCTTGGCACCTTCTTCTTCCCAATAAAACTTTTCAAATTTCAATCAGATAACTAACAATATCATCAGGTACATAATGCCCCTGGTAGGATCTATAGTTAGCAATATGGTCTGTTTAATCGTGTTTCTATTTGCAGTACCTGGCATATTAAGAGCTCAGCAAGTGTTTCTTGAATAAATAAATGAAAACAAATCTTAACTCCTTTTTACAGCATTTTATGCTGCAGTAGGCTGAAAAATTCAACTGCTGGCTTACAAAAGAGGAGATCAGACTTCAAGGAATAGGATATGTATTGGCAAGTGAAATGTAGATGGTATGCCTTGTGAAATGGGGTGGGGAACAAAAAAGGTCCAGAAATATATATTAGCCTACTTAACCTCTTTTTACCAGGAAGTAAACAGTTGTTATTACCTTAAACATTTATTGCAATAAACATGGATTTACACTGACATATAAAAATCATGTTTCTCATTTTTCAATTTTTTTGCAGGAAATTTTAGATGAAAACAATGGTTTGCACAAGTGCCTGAAGCTGGCTCACCAGTTCTCCTGAGGCAGCTGTGCACACCTCTTCCTCACTGTGTGTTCAGTGAAAACACTTTGGTGATGTGTTTTCAACCTCAGAAAAAGTAGATAACCATGAATTTTGACAAATGCCATAAATCAAAGCTGTGGGTGAGTTGGGGAGGGGATGTTTAGTGGGAGGGTTATCAGAACATCATTACCTGGTGCCTGATAGAAAAATAGAAAAATAACGATGAAATTTCCTAAATTTTCTTTTCTTTTCTTTTCTTTTTTTTTTTTTTGGATGCTGAACAGTTTTC